ATCGCCCGCCAACCTGAATCCAATCTGGTATCGCCACGGGAATTCCCCCGTGTCAACAGCACTGTGGGGCTCGTCCAGCACTAGGTTCTCCCACACTTGTACCCCGCAGGCGGGCCATCCATCCTGGGCTCCGAGGATATCTCAAACTATATTGACCATTATTCTTTTGTTCCAAAAATTCACTTCCGAACGCACAAATGGGCGGGGGGGGGGGAGGGGGGGGGGAATATTTGTGTCTGGTGTTGGTTTTTAGGGTGTGGGTTGGTGGGGATGAGAATGGGATTGGCGTGGTATTTTTATCAAGGGGTGGCTTGCTGGGTTGGACAGATTGTTCTGGAGTAGATATTTGTCGTATATTGCGTTTGGGGATCGGCAGTAGCATTTTGACCTCCGTCCCGGGTTTTGTTGGCGTTTGGTCGGTCCATCTTCATTCTGGACTTCAGGGCCATACGGGTATGCATCATGGAGGAGGGAGTTCTGGAAACGGGTCACGGGACTCTTCATATACAGTACACATCTGGTACGGGCGAGGTCGACTTTTGTAATGGCTCGTCGTTCGATCATAGGTACCCTGAGGATAAAAGAATGCTAACAAAACCGTAACATGCTATGTTGTGGCCCCTTTTATCATGCCGTTTTATCGTTTGCTTGTATGTACATGCACCCTCTGTCCTGCAGTTCCAGGTGTCCGGGTATCCTGATAATTTGCTTGGGGAATTCCTGTTTCATTTCAGTATCTAATACCCGATATCCATGTGCAAATGGGTTCGTCGGCTTTCACGTACTCAGTCGCGGCTTAGATGGCCAGTCGTTAAGTTAAGGATGAGGTTGAGCGGGTCAGAGCCACCGAGCGTGGGGGGCAACGCTGCGGCTCTGGCGTCTTTACAGGGGTCGGTCCCACTAGGCCTCCTTCCCATCCACCACCCTCCAAATTCATCAGAATCATATGCATGGTATCACTCCCCGTGCGCAAAGTCATCCAAACCATCGACACCAATCCTCGTCCGTCCCGACAAACCAACAATGTCGCCAAATTGGAATCTCAACCCCAGCTCGGCGATTCGCTTGTCGCGCTCTTCACTCTCAAGCCTGCTCAAACCCTCCATACTCCCCAACATCCAAGAGTCACAAACATAATACATGGCTCCGGCAATGGTGCTGGGATCGACAGGCATGTGCGGCCACCTGACAAAAAAGGTACCAACAACGACGAGCCACATGAGGCTGAGGATGCCGACTGCCATCCAAGTGCAAACGCGCGATGTCATCCACGTCTGCGTAACCCGGAACGGCACATTGCTAAGCACGATCGGCATGAACTCGGACAGGATGGCCGTGAAGGCGACCAGGATGAGAAATTCGTGGCGCTGCTGGACGGCGCCCACGATACCAGAGAAGGCGTTCAGTGGCGGGGACACCGTGATGGTCCGCTGAGGGGGTTGGGGGGGTTGTGAGAGCATCTGATAAGGGCTGAGCACCGCCAGACCTGGATGGGCTAGGTCAGTCTTTGGGGGCCTTGGGCTTAGATGGGATCAGGACTCACTGGTAAAAAAGCAGCTCCAGAAGAAGCTGACGCCCACGCCAGCCAGCGTGAACAGCGCGCGCACTCCGAAGTTCTGCGTGCCCATGAACCTCTCAAACCCCGTATCGCCGCCCGTGTTGTTGTAGTACAAGATCAGCACCATGATGCCGGTTATGGTCACTAGGCACACCGCTCTCGCTGTGTATGACAGCATGAGAAACGGGAGATGATGCTCGGTTTTGCGATGAGTTTCGGTAACTTCGCTCTCTTGCGGCGATTTTAAGCTGAGGCTTGACTCCGAGTCGACCTTCCACAATGACGCATCCGCCTCTTGAACCATGACGCCGTAGTCAGGGACGCCGTAACGGTTGAAGAAGGACCCCAGCTCGAACCTCTTGCCCTCTAACGCGGCTACAAGTTGCCGGTGGTCAATTTTCTCCCCCCGACCGGTCGACAGCGATGAGAAAACTGCTCTTAACCCAGGGTTTGTCGACAAGGACGCAACAGCCGCGATGGACCACGGATTTGCCGCCACCCCCGTCTGCCAGCGGCGAAGAACGAACAAGATAAGCAGCAATAACACGACCATAAACCCCAACACTCCAATTGTCGCTCTTGCCGGGCCAAGGAACACCCCCAACGTCATCGCACAGCCCCTGAAATCCAGCCTCGAGCAGCTACCATGCAGCTTCAGCGCCACGGCCTCCGACGACAACGGCACGAGCAGCACAGCAGCCAGCAGCAGCAACGTCGTCAGGAACACCAGGACCTGGCCGCCTGCCAACGACCGGACGCTCGCCACGACGCCGTGCATCCCGCCCGTCCTCAGACACAGCGAGTCCCGGGCCGACGCGCTCCGATGGCGCGTCAGAGCGTGCCACGGCTGCAGCTGCTTCGCCGCCAGGTCGATCGTGCGGAGCGGGATCGTCAGCATCACCGCGAGCAGCGTCGGCAGGAAGAAGCCCACGAAATACTCGCCCTCGGAGATGTAGTAGACCTTGACGCCCGTCTGCGGATCGGGGGGTTGCGTCGCGGGGATCGGGTACTCGGTGATGGTGGCGGTTGCGGCGCCGGCTGTGTTTGTGAGGACTCGCGTCCGGGTGGGGACCAAAACGCAAGTCGTCACCGTCGCTGTTGGCTTGCCGTCCGGATCGGTCAAGGTGAGGACTACCGGTGTGGATACCGCCGCCGGCGTGCGCGTGACGATGGCCGTGGGCGTCCCGTCTGAGTTGGTGAGTGTCGCCACCTCTGCTGTCGTGTATGATGGCTCGAGGCCAATGATGGATCCGTGCAGCGTGCTCGTCACAGTGTACTCGCTGACCGATCCATCCAGTGTCCGCACCTCTGATGTGGTCTGGCTGGTGATGGTCGTCACAACACCCGGAAGCGTCGTCTGCTTCGTGATTGTGGCCACTACTTCGGTATGGATTGTGGATACGACTGTGACGGGGCCATCGTGGCCGTGCTGCTCGGGGAGTGGGTTGAACAGGATTGGCTGACTCGTGGTGGAGGACTCGGTCGAGAGCGTTATGGTCTCGGTGTGGTACCCGGGCTGGCCGAACTGAGGCTTGTCGCCGATTCGAACCCTGGTGGTGGTCTGCGTGCCAGTAGGCTTGTCCTCCGAGCTCGAGCCGTCGCCAGGCCCAGTTGTTATGGTTGCGGCCGACGTGGGAGTGGCAGGTGTGGAGATGGGTGAAGGAGTCGAGGCGTTCTGGAACTCGCGTCTCATGTTCGGCATTCTCGTCGTCATCGAGGACCCCGACGACGGTCCGATGTTGTCCGGGCCCGTTGTGCTCGTTTCCGACCCCTATCCCGGGACCACGTCTCGATCAACCTCTGCGGGGAGGAGCCGACACGCCGTCTCCAGGGCAGCAATGAGCCCCAACATAATCGCTATCATCGTCACGAGGAATGGCCATCGGAGCGGTAACGGCTTGTAGTCTGGGAGGCCGGTCCGACGCCGCGGGTTCGACCCGCGTGATGTTCCTTCCGCCGCTTGTTCGTATAGCCCTAGGCTTGACAGTTTCTCAGACCCAATCAGGCTTTCGGCTTTCTTAAGGGGATACCCCTCAACACTAGCCACTGGACTCAGGGCTCGATCTTGTTGCTGGAGTGAGGAATACATGGTGTGACTGGACGGGAAAGCGCAGTTTCCCTATGCACATGATCATGAAAAAGGCTCCATTTCTCGAGGATTAAAAATAGCCGTCAACATGAGCGTTGTGCGGGCCAAAGGATAGAGTGAAGTGTGTTCTCCCAAGAACATACACCGACTTCATGCCTGCTCTAAAGATGGTTTTTGACTTGCACGGCAAGTTCAATTATCGTCTCCATATCGCTGACAGCTCTCGGCTCTCACAGGGCTGCCGATCTTTGGTAAGGAGGCGATGCCCCTTCTCGACCCCATTGGCCTACGCTGTTGCCAAATTCGGGGCACCAACCTCACTGATCAGCATCTTTTCTGGCACAGCCCACTGTTGGATCCAGTCGGGCGGGAGAATCAAGCTTTCCTTCTGTCAACCTAAGGTGCCATTCGTAAGGCGGCCCAATTGGCGGTCTGCTTAACGGTCGCTCGCGAGATGGATAGCACATCCCAGGACCAATTATGAGTCCACATCCCAGACACATGATACAGGAACGGTGTGAGACCCGTTCTATTTTTATACTGCCAACGACGGCCTTGAGCCATTGCCAGGTGGCCACCACAACATGGACATGTTTGTAGTGGTTAGGGGATTGAGAGCCAGGCGAATGGCTGTAGGTATGGCTTGAAGCTTGTTTCCGTTTGGGGTCATAATCACCCAAATCCAGCATTGCCAACCATAGTCGTGGGTAGCGCCCAGATGCCTTGCTCGTTCTTCCCAATGCATAAGGAACCCTGCTGGAGACCTGGCACATAGGGAGTAGAGGAGACGTGCAAGAAGTCTATCGAGCAGCTGCAACGACGAAAGGGAATCGATTTAACAGCCTCACCGAACAAGACGAACTCCACTACCTAGTATACTATCCAGTAACCTAACATACAACCATTCCCACAACCCCTCCTAGCCCAACCCCCCTCCCCTCACGGATACC